AAAGCAGTCCCAGGCCTGGAGAGGACATAAATCCTCCCAGTGCCAGGAGAAAAGCAGGCGTTTCCAAAGAGAGGAGTCAGTAGGATTGAGCTAAATATGATTAACTGAGCCCTGGAGCAACGGGCAGGAGGATGGAGAAGAGACAGTTCCTGCTCTCCAGGGGTAACTCAGGAGCAGGCAGCAAGCCCTCGAGGGTGGGAGCAAAGAGGTTTTCCCTCTGGAGCTGATGGGGTCATGGAGGGAATGCTGTGCAGGGGAGGTGTCCTTTGCTTTGGGTGTCAGTGGATGCATCCTGCCAGGAGCAGGCTCCCAGCAGCAAAGGATTTGCTCCAAGAGTGTCTGAAGAACAGGAAAACACACCCAACAGGCTGTAAAAAGAGGGTAAACCAGCTTCCAGATGGGAGTTGCACCTTCTGGTTGCTTGAATGGGGAAAACAAAGGTGAGATTCGAGGGTTAAAGCAAGGGGCCACCCCCTAGGGATGGACGGGAGAAGTACCTGGGTGGGAAATCAGGATTTGTTTAGGACAAAGGAGGGTTTAAGGGGATGGCACACACTCCACTCATAGTGCAGATGGGAACCCCTTTGAAAGCTTTCTCCCGTGTTTTATACCCCTCAAATTCCCGGTGGTTCAGGAAGGAACTCCGGAGCTCCCCTTCTGTTCCAGCAAATGGGTGGCAGATGCACAAACCGGCTCTGCCACTGAACTGCTCAGGGTTTATGTTGGTGTTGCTCCACCTACGTCCACAAATCCATCCCAGGAGGCTGTAAAATGTGTGTAAGAGCAGAACCCATCACCGGGAAAATACCAGGAGTCCGTATTTTGGCATTTCCTTGCAATGCCTCTCACCCAGGAACTGCAACTCCATGGAAAAAGTAGGGTAATAAAGGCAGACCTGAGCACGTGGAAATCAATACAGCTCCTTCCCTGATTTACTCCAGCAAATGCCATGGGTTTGGGAATCCCTGGAGAACCTCTCCAGGGATCGAGGGGCCTCCACGCTGAATTTCATGGCTTCCAGACACGAATTTGGGTCATTTGGACCTGATTTCCCTCCCGTGTCCTGCTCAGAGCAGGTCTCAAGCTGGATACAAAGCACGCAAAGCACTGACCAAGCATCTCCACTGCTCCCACCTGATGCTTTATTCCCGAAATTGTTACAAATCATCACTTTGAAACCATTTTAAAGATGCAACGACCACGCCTACAGAGGTTGTACAAAAATCCCGCTGCAAAACAAGGTTTGGAGGAAGGGGTTGCATGAAACCCATGAGATTAAGCTGACCTTGGCCTGAGTTAGTGTAGATTTGGACCAAATTATCCTGGGGGGGGGAATTAATTAGAGACTCATTAAAGTTCACTGGGAGGGATGCAAACTGGAGGTGGTTTGCATGGCTTTGGGATTCTTGTTTTCCCACTCTCTGGGTGCACTGGGACCCCGTTGCAGTGCACAAGGACCCTGTCCCCCCTCCGGGGTTCACCTGGACCCCATTATCCCTCAGTAAGGTGCACTAGGACCCCGTCCCCCACTGTCCCAGTCCCCCCCATTCCTGGGTCCTATTCACAGTCCCCATCCCCCTATTCCCATTCCCAGTCCTCATTCTCAGTTTCCATTTACA